AATTCTGACTTGCCCAACGTGGTATCTGACGTGGCATCTCCGGTGTCAAACGCGACGTCCAAGAGCGGACAATGCTTCACGCTCACGTTGAACCCAACTGAATAATATTCAAATTTTCAAATGTTGGTTGGCGATTAATTTTTTCAAATATTTGCCCGGTCAAAGTCGGTGTCGTTTCCCCTTTTACGATTTTTCCAAGGCTTTGAAACGACCGCGTCGCTATCTTTCTCCGGCTTTTGAACTTCGATCCTCTGTCGCCGTCTACACCTCTATCAACGCCTCCGCCCGATCGCCACCGTCCATTGCTTTGCCTTACGCCTGATTACTTCATTCTTTTCCGATTTCGTCTCGTGGTGCGACACGTAGCAGGTGCTCGATAAAACACGTAGGCTAACGTACTCGCAATTTATAGTGATTTTTTCGTTGCGTTCGGCTTCGTCTTCCTTCTGTAATCCTCCCTTCTCTCTTCGGATTCCGATCACCTTTGGAATCTTCCGTGTGTGGGGAGCCCTAACTCTATATGGTCCCGAGCCACTGTTTAATGTATAAATCCAGTTTTATTGTTATTTGGTTTGCCGATTAATTATAAGGTGGGAGAGTCTGTTTTCGGGGTTAGGGTTTATTTATATTTTCTGTTTTTTCCTCCGTGAACTCTTTTATGGTTTCATGTGAATTCTTGAGATTGGTTAGATTCTGAGTTCTTTTTTTATTTATTTTCCGAGAGATGGATATGGGGATTTCCGATGAATTGTTGGGAACCTTTGCCCCAATTTTCGTTTATTGGATTTATTCTGGAATTTATGTTGTTCTCGGATTATTTTCCGAGAATTATCGATTACACTCGAAGAAGGATGAAGATGAAAAGAATTTGGTATCCAAGTTCTCGGTGGTGAAAGGGGTTCTTCTCCAACAAGTAGTTCAGGCTGTTGTGGCAATACTCCTGTTTGCTGTAAGTGATCGAAATTTTCTTTATGATTTTTTTTATAGATGCAAACTATGTCTGATGTTGATGTTAACTCTTATGCCTGTTTATCTGAATCCTGATTTTTTTTTTTTTATAGGTTTTATATTTGGGATGTAGTTTTGAATTTTATCATATGGGAATCCTGTTCGTGTTTATTGTATGCTACTTAATATGGGTTAATCAGAGAAAGTTCACTGTCGTCATAGTCTCCCTAATGGGTGACAGAAATTTAGGATCGTTGTCGTATCTGTTTAATAAAAAACATAAAGGAACCTTTTTTCTCGCTAAAAGCAAAAGATGACAAGCTAGAGAAGTTTTCGTTATTGTTATCTCCCACGCAAATTGTTGATTGATTTCCCACTTCGAAACGGATCCCTTTACGTTTCATTTATCCATTATTTCCTCTCTGAGAATGCTTAAAATTGTGATTGCACTTTGTTGTTAAGTGGTTCTTTTATAGATTGTTTGGAGGTGTTTTCTTGCTCACTGAGCAACGCGTCTTGTTGAAAAATCACCTCAAAATAACGAAGAACCCTATTTCAGTGACCCTATGAATAGTTTTGCTTTAACTCTTGAGAATATTTTGACTCTGGTGTATTCTTTTTTTCTGGAACTTAACAATTATAACAGAAAGAATAGTTTGTAAGTTTTGTGGATGACAAATAATCAAGTATTACTAATGCAATTACATCAGGAATGGATTTTTTTTTTGGGGCCAAATACATCAGGAATGGTTTTTTTTTTTTTTTTGGGCATGGGTTTGATCTGCTAATGGTTAATGTTCAACAAGAAAGGTGCCTATGGGGACTTGATGAAGTTGATTAGGATTAATGATTATCGCAAGGCTAAGTGATAAGAATTTTGAAATCTTCTAAGAGTCCATAGTGAATCCATCCTAGATGAATACTATATTAGTGAACATACGGGCTCTTTTGTGTATCTCAAGAAACAAAGTGAATAAATTTCCGGATGAAATTTGTCATGAGACTTATTTAGACAACAGTCCGTGTTTAGCTAATGCAAATTCATGGCAATTCACCACTTGAAAGCTTGGGCAGAGCCAATGATATGTTTCCTTTCCATTATCACATAGCCCTGGTGCTTCTGGCAAAGTGGCAACGGAAACTGCAGAAGTGATTGTCTTTTCCTTTATAATTCCTAGCAATACTGTCTTTTTTTCTTTAGTACATGTTAACTAGTGTAACTATAAATTGGCAAAATTTTGTTAGGATCTGACTTATTAAATCATAGTTACCTCTTTTGTTACTGTGTAGGTCACTGGCGGGAATGGTGGTGATGAGGGAACTGCTACTGTTGAAAATGCTTCCATCCTTGTATTAGTGAGACAGTTTGTTACTGCCATGTTGGTTATGGACACTTGGCAATACTTTATGCACAGATACATGCATCACAACAAGTTCTTATACAAGCATATCCACTCTCAACATCACAGACTTGTTGTTCCCTATGCATATGGAGCTCTTTACAATCACCCAGTAGAGGGGCTTCTTCTAGATACTGTGGGCGGAGCTATGTCTTTTCTTATTTCTGGCATGAGCCCACGGGTCTCCATCTTCTTCTTCTCCTTTGCCACAATTAAAACTGTGGATGACCACTGTGGATTATGGCTTCCTGGGAACCTTTTCCATATATTTTTTAAAAATAATTCAGCTTACCACGACGTGCACCATCAGCTATACGGCACTAAGTACAACTTCTCACAGCCATTCTTTGTTATGTGGGATCGAATCTTGGGTACCTACATGCCTTACTCATTGGAGAAGAGGAAAGGTGGAGGTTTTGAAGCTAGACCTTCTAAAGAGTTCAAGGATGACTGATCTTTTTGTTTGATGAGAGCATTCTTTGTCTGTAGTAGTAGTATTTTTACTCATGATGAGCCGCACTACCAACCTGATCTGTCTGATCTGTATATATACATATATGCTTCTGTGCTCAATCTCTTGGCTTTATTTATGTCCATATCAGATTGCCTTTTAATAAGGAAATTGTGGATCTCTACCTCTGGTGGTTTTTTATACCCTTTCATTGCTGTCTTCAGTGCACCCTGTTGTCTTGCTTCTATCAACTCGTATTTTTCATCTACGGAATTATTCGTTTGTTCTGCCCACCTATATCTCTGGTTCTGCGTGCCAGAAAGTTCACTTCATGCTGATCTTTAACCATAAACTTAGTCTTTTATCCCATTTTCCATTATATTTCAGTAGTTGGTCAGGGAAAAAAGCTCAAGCGTATCATTTGAGAATCCAAGGCATAATTCAGTTATGTACAATATGCTGCACTTGCGAGGGTTTTGAATAGCATGTGACTGCTAGACTAATAAAGATTTTCTCTTGTTCGTGCTAACTTTTGAAGCCACAAATATGGGACTTATCTTAAATTTCTAATTATCAAGTCTCAATAGTGAACGCCGGACTTCGAACATCCTTGTGGTTAGTTATCTGAGTCGTTGAAGTAGTTATCCTTTTTGACGCTACTGTTAGTAATTGCTTTTTCTGATGCTATTTTTAGCAGTCATATTTTTTTTACGCTACTGTTATTGATAGGGGCCTGACTGATCTGATATTCATCTAAATCAAAATTCTAAAAGCCCTCAAAGATATGCGGCAAGAAATCCCAATTCGGTCGTATTCAAAATATTCATATCCTAACTTTGAACAAATATACCATAATCACTTTCGTGCCTCGTGATAAAGATATTGGACACAGTTTAGAGGTTGTGCTTCGTTCTACTCAAAGGCCTTGGGGAAAGAGAAAAGCCATCATGTCCTAAGTGGTCCATGAAATGTGTACAAAGCTTATCCTTCAGTCAATGATGGTGCAGACTGCAGACGGGCATATCACACCGAAACCATTATAGTGACAGACTAACGCTAAATATTCTGATGTTAGACGCGACCATTAATATGTTAATTTGCACCACATATAACTGGACCTGTTAACATCTTTAGAATGACATTCTATTTTGTAACAGATAATAGACAGATAGCAAGTGTTCTTTATGTGGACTTGATAGCTTGCCTGCTTTAGCTTTCTCCCTAGTAAAAAATATGGATCCAGATTCTTTGAATTTTGCCCCTCTCAAGTTCCATTAAATTATTTTTCTACAAGTTGCAGATATCCTGGACTCTTTATGCAAGTGTCATTACTTGGTAGTTTTGTAGTCATTATCTGTAGGAGGCTCTATAAGGTTACAGGTATTCAGTCATGAGTTAAATAACCACTAATCGATGAAGTGAAGAATCGGAATAGGAGCTTCTAATGATTTGGGTTTATCAGCTTCCAAAAATGTCAGGTGATTTTATTTTACATTTTCTTACATACTTTTTAATAGATTTCTGCAATATTATTGACTGCGACACAAGAATAATGATAAGCTAGATGGATGGACCACCATATTTATTAGGTGGTTCTGATATTGAATATGCCTGGCTTCATTCCTTGGTGAGCATTTTGCCGTCGCTGTTGCTAGTTGCATGTCACTATACGGACATTCTCAAGGCTTGAAATTCTCTATTAATCAGTTGTGATGAATAAACCTCTCATAATTACACTTTATTTATGTCGAGGACTTGAGGCGTGCTTAAGCTTCTATGAAATCTCCCACTGAAAATGGAAAAAATAATTAACTAATAGTGAAAGAAGAGCAAACATGTAGAGCAACACTTTATTAACAGTGCAAGGGATGCATCCTCTTGCTGTGAAATGGTTAAATTTCATTGTACTTGAAGGATGGTTAACTTTATAGTCAACCCTTTTGTGCCTCTTTTCTTTTTGGTTTGGTTGGATGCATTATTTTCAAAAGCCAACAGCACTGGGGAAAAATACACATGGAAAAGGTAGATCTTTTGTCATTTGCAGGTGGTCCTTCTGTGAGAAGTATCATCAAAAGTTAAAGGAAGACAAGTGCACTTTCCAAAATGTAATGGCTATATCAGATACATCCAGCTTTATAAATAAAAACAAAAAGCTATGCAACAAGCAAACACTGAATTAGGGATAACTGAAAAAGGGTCAAGCTTGGACAATACGAGGTTCCATTTCACACCTTCTCTATGGTAATATGAGTCCATATGCATCCTTCCAAAATGATTCACTTCATCTTGTTTGTAAGCCAGATACAGCAAATACTGATGGGCAATAAATATATATCGTTGCAAACAAAATAATATTACAAGGTTTTAAGAGGAAGATACATGAGACACCTGGGCCGAGAGCCAATAATTATTTTGGTAAATAGATTTGAAACTCAGAGACACAAACTGAGTCCAAACTTCAGGTAAATTCGAACTACTGCTAAATGTACAGGGGTTGAGAAACGTGTGTTGAGTACGAACGTTGAAGTGGGGGTCTGCCATAAGCATGTTGCCCATGAATTGCACCAAAATTCCCCATCTTTGGATCTGCCTTAAACCTTGTTACCTGAGCCAAGGTATCCGACCTCCGACGAACTAGTGGGCTATGATTAGGTTTCTCATAGGTTATGAAGGCATCCCCAGCCACCTTCACAGCCTTGTAACTCTTGCAGCCCAAGAACGTACTAGAATGTCTCCTCTGTCTTTGTATCTCTCGGCTGGCTTTTGTTGTTCCAGCCGATGATGTATATGCAGCTTTTGTCGGTATGGTTGCTACTGCACTTTGTTCTTCACCGTCTGACAAGACAGAGTAATCTGCAGCACTAGCAGTGGCCACACTCCATTCTATGCTTGCCTCACTTGGTGCATAACAAGTTGTAGGGGAGGCACAACCAGAGGCAACTTCTGACGTTTGTCTATTAAGGAAGTGGTTGGTTTTACCTGTGAGGCTGTCAATCTCAAACAAATCTGAACTTGCATCACTCTCAGTATCATTGTAGTTTCCTGAAAAAATGTCGATTTCTTCCACTTTAGGCGCTGCCGCAGCATCCCAAGAGGGCATTGTAAGCCTCTTATCAAAGGTCAAAGATCTTCTGTTATTCAATATTGGGGAACCAAACACCTCCAATGATTTCCTTGGCTTCTCTTCTTCCTTCTGCTGAAGTTTCAAATTCACCAGTTGATTTTCTAGCCCAGAATTCACTGCTGGCAATGCTGAATCTGGCTTTTTGAAGCAAACATCTTTATTGCATAACAGTTCTTCCCGAGGCTTGTTTGTTTTAGCTGAGTAATCAGCATCTAAGCCAGTGTTAGAAAGGTTTCTGTGAGGTCCTTTTCCGTGAACAACACCATAAGTAGGATTATGGCTATGATCACTGATATCAACAGAATTATTATCAGCACATGAGCATTTGCAGCCAAGACCAGCTAGGAAATTCTTCCTCTGCATCTTGCTGTTCCTGTTTCTGGAAGAGTTCCTCTGAACCCTCGGTAACAGTTTACTTTGGCTGTTCCAACTTGATTCAGATCGAACGCTTGGAGTTCCATAGTGGGATTTATTGAGATTTCGGGTTTCTAGAGCTTTGCGTTCTTCATCTTTATGATAGTGGCACTGCCTTGCAGCCACGTTAGTAGCAACTCCAGGACTCTCACGATCCATTCCTCCATTGAAGTACTTATGAGCTTCAAAGACTCCAATATCTCCATCTTCTTCCTTCTTTTCTGCAACTTGAAGATGAAGAGTCTCCCCCCTATTGGTGTTAAAGGAACTACGACGAACATTCCTCCCTGACTCTGCAACTACTTTCTCTTCATTGCTGTTCAAGTATGAAGGGACGAAAGCATCACGTGGGTGGTTGTTTCTGTTCTCAGAAGTGGAAGTTCTAATCTGATGGAGGCTGCTGTTTGCAGTTATGGTAGCCATCGTTACAGGATTATTCTTGAGCATAGTTTCAAGTCCTCAGTGACAGAAACTGACCCAACAGAAAGAAAATGAATGATGAAGAGTATTGAAGAAGATGGTGCAATACTGGGAATTGCAGAAGGAAAATTTTGCAGCAAGGAATAGCGTAAGGTAGAAGGTAGGGAAGGAATGGACGAAAGAAAGGATCTGAAATGAAGGGGTGAATGGACACAGGATTACATAGGAGGAGTGGCTCTATAAGTAGAGAGGGTTGTGGAATATGAAAATGTCAAGAAGGTAGGGCCATGTGCTTCTGGTCTAATTGACACCTCCTCCACAGTTTTCACGCGCAAGTATTTTGTATATCCAGACTAATAAATAGGCAGAAACGACATGTCAGAACTTAAGTTTATCACATTTGATTTAGACATTAAAAATTGAAATTTCCTTTCAATAACTATGAACCTATACTCTCTCAAGTTATATTTTAATCTTCAAATATTACAATGTCATTTTATGTGGGGATAATACCGAATGGAAACACTCTTGTGCTTTTTTTTTTTTCCTTTTTGGTTTTTTGGAACTTCAGCATTTGCTGTGTTGGTTATGCCTGATGTAGCCTCTGAAACAAATTGGTAGATGCCCAAAAAAAAAAAATTCCTCCCTACAATATTTTTTATGCATATTACAAGAGAGTTTATTATTGGGGTGTTTGGGGGGTCCCCCGGGGGGAAGGGGTGGTGAGGGCTGCTCGGACCAGGCTGATGGGGATGCTTCATAAACTTTATGCATAGAGCAACTTAGCTAAAAACGATACCATGTGTTATCTTGAAAAAGATTAGTTTCTTTTATCTCAAAAGTTAGGTATTAAATCAACAAAACCTGACATAATTGATAGATAGTAAGTTTTTTAAAGATAATATACCTGAAATAATTGATAGATAGCAAGTTTCTTAAAGATAATGTCGTGAGTTTGAACCAAAACATTTATATAAGAAAATTTTTTTGAGGGAGGCACAACTTATTTTGGCTATCTCTATGCTTGATAAAGATCAATTTCTAACTATCGGTTAAAAGATATTGCACAGTTTTTAACTAAAAAAAATTAAAAATCATACCAATTATTGAACTGGTTGAAACGGTAATTCAAGAGTTAGTGATCCAACCATAATTGAACTGAAATCAACCTAATCATAATTAAAATAATTTAATTTAATTAAAATATACAAAAAAAAATACGTATACATGTGCATATGTGACCTTGAAAAGGATAATGTTTAAACAAAGAAAGATTAGTTTATAGATAAATGGGACATTCGTATATAAAATAACAAATAATCCAATAAAACAAAATTACTAAAGAACAAATATGACTTATAGCTAGTCTAAACTTAGTTAAAAGAAATATAATCCATTTATACCATACCATGACAGAGATAACAATCAACCATGCAGGTAACCTTCCCTCCATTCAAAGTGTGTTATTCTTTATATTTTTAAGTTCTTGAAATTTGCCAAAGTCATTACTTTCTTTTTTTTAAAAAAAAAAAAAACTCCTTATGATTTGTTCCCTTTCAGCAGAAAGGGTGCCAACTACCGTAGGAAATAAAAGCAAGACTAATCAATATTTCACTTGATTAACTGATCTTAGTCCCATCTTTGGTTTTTATCACAAAAAAAGGAAGTTGGCTGATACACAATAACCAAAATCAGATCTTTTTTTTTTAATTTAATGGGGTTAATACACATAAACCAAAATCAGATTATTTTTTTTTCCTTTTAAAGCGGGATATAGTTATGGAAAAACAATGAAGAGACAAGGGACATGGAGGGAACCTGTTCGTCCTCGTATAGCTGTAAATGGGTATGTAGTTCCCTGATGATACAATTTTCTTGGTTACACACACTCACAGACACAGAGGCTTGCAATTACTATAAGCAGATAACGTTTGAGGTTGCAAACCTCTCACGAATCCTTCTATTCTTTTCATGCTTGTTATGTAAAAATCACAAGAGCCAATTTGCCCTAAAAAAAGAGCCAATCAAATTTTGAAGGGGCTGGATTCTTTTAGAAGAAAAATTATCATTAGATATCTCCCCCAAAAAAATAATTAAAAATAATTATCTTTTTTGTATATTCTTTCTATTTTTCATGGGTATGTTCTCTTTATATTTATATTGTTTTTATTGAGGAATAGTACGAATGGCATGTTGCTTTAAGAATATATAACAATTTCTGACTTGGAATATCGTACTTTCGAAATATTACTTTTGTACCTTCCAATACAGCATAATAATATATATATATATATATATATATGATTAAGTAATCATAATATAAAACATGACAAGAATTGTATCTCATAACCCTTCAAATTCTATTAATAATTTAATTAGTAGGTAATTTGTTAGTATTTTTATAAGAATTCTTGGAATCATAAGGCATCGAGGCCCTATGATTTTTGTGGTCAAATTAGTACTCCTTCCTTCCTTATATGCAAGTCATATTCTAGAATATTTTAAGAGGTAAATCACTTTACAGAATTTAAGCAGCCTTAAATATTTTTTCCATACTCACTCCTCATTAAATAATCAAAAAAATTATGATGGAGGGAATGAATAAGAGATATAATATATTTAATAATTAAGATGGAGTATAATAACAATTTAATGATAGTAATTTCATAAAGTTATGGTGATTTTTAAAAAGTTTGAAAACCCTAAGTAATTTTAACAAAACTTTTTGACTGTGTCATATAGTGAAAGTGACATATATAGCTAGTGATGGAGGATGTGTATCAATATCATAGCATCATTCAATAGAAATTGAAAAATGTCATTCATTCTTTGCTCATATATGCATATTAATTAAATATAAAAAAGGTAATATGAAAGTAAAAGATGAAAATAAAAGTAAGTCTTACACATATTCCTAATTTTTAAAACAAATAATTATATGATGATAAAAAGATTGAATTGAAAAGCAACAGTGGACAAGGGGGAAGCCAATAGGCAATGGGGAATTAATACAGGGAGATGTGAACTTAACCACACAAAAATAGACAGCAATGACATGGGAAGGCCCCTTCATAAGTATTGGCATTAAATAGGCTTTCATATCAAAGCAGGTACCTCCAAAACGGACACTTATATGACATGCATTTATGATGCTCCTATTATGCACCACATTCTCTGTGCAAAAATCACGCCCACCCCTACTTATCCTTAATTTAATAGCCACAAACCATCTGCCCCTTCAATTATTTGGCCTTTCATTTAAGGATAAATGAGACTTTTATTTTATGTATATATCAATGATGTTTAGACTTATTTGAGTAAAATTTTGATAATATATCCTAACTCAAGTGAGGTTGGGATAAGTGACAAAAAGCTTTGTTACCTTAGAAATAGGAGGACAGGGAAGGATTCTGTTTGGTTAAACAGAACGAAAAATAGATACTATCTCCAATCCTAATTATCAGAGTTAGACAAGAGATTTATTTTCATCTTGAATATGAAATCTCAATTCACTTTACTTTTTAAGTTTGCAATATTTTATTCAAAGTATTCCTATTGACGGCACATATTAAAAATACATGATTAAATATAATAATTGAGAAAAAATATGACACATCTATTATACATAACTAAATTAATTTTTTTAATATTTATAAATTAATCATCTATTTTTTATATGCTAGCTCCTTTAGTTAGAAGAAATGGAGGAAGTGCTTCTCTCCGAAATGGGAAGATTTGGAGAAACAGTTAAAACCCACCTCCTTCCCTCCTTCCAACCAAATCAAAGGGGACCCCCCAACCCCCACCCCTTTAAAAAAAAAAAAAAAAAGGCCCCCTCCATAAACTTTCTTCCTCTCCTCTACTGAGATTCCTCTCATCTCATTCGTTGAACTAAGCAAATAATTAAAAGTTCAATTCCCAACTTTTTTTTTGTGTGGATCAAACATAGTTTAGAGGAACATACCTTTTTCTATCATAATCTTAAGGAAGACTAATATTTATTATGAGTATGGTAAAAGACAAATAACTAAACAACCATTTAGTGATGGTTAAATCAAGTGATAAAAAGAATTTCGGTTTTAAATTTGAAGCATGAAAAGGGAGAAGTCACACTAGGACAGTCGTTTTTTTTATAATTATTATTAACATTCTTTAACTGAAGCTGCTTTAATTCAAAATAGTTAAAAAAAAAGTGTTTTGATTTGCAAAAATAAAATTAAAAAGAAAAAACACCATTGAAGCATGAAATTAGGAGGAAGGTGGGTCCATAGGAGGAAAGCAGAGTTATGTAAAATAGATAGAGAGCAGTGGTTAAGAATCCAAGGGAGGCCACCAGGCGAAGGCTTCAGCCTTCAGCATCAGTCTTGTTTCTTCTGTTCACTTACTACAAAACGACTCAGACCAGTCTGTGTATTTGGCCACTTGGAATGCTGTCGGTGGGGCCTGAGCCAAGTCTCCATCTGCTTATAATTAACTATTCAAATTTCATTCATCTATACAAATTCACATCAGATGTCAATCATGTACACCCATAAAACTGTGCAAGGAATTGCCGTAATTGGCCACTCAAAAGTATTTAGACACAGTTACTTGTTGCTGCCTCCTAAATTACTTTGCAGGTTCATTTCTACTAGTTAAGATGCACTCTTGTTTCAAAACTTTTTGCATGAGTGTTACGATGAATATTTGGAAATTTTTATCAGATCCACGCTCTGGAAGTATTAAAAAAATTAACAACATTACCCCTGATTATTAAAAATATTAATGGTTAACATTAATTTTTAAACAGTGAGAGTAATTTTTCTCCTTTTCTTTAACACTTTTTGAGGTGATATTTTTATTTTATTTTAGGCTATATTAATTCAGCAAAAAACCTCAGATACACATAATTTTTATTTGAAAACTTCTGAAATAAAATTAGATCTTAATCTTTTTTCTCCGTGCTAGTGTCAAGAAAATAGGAATAAGTACGGTTGTTCAACTTTTGCCTTTTGATGCATGCCGATAGTACGCCAAGCATACCAAGCGTCCCACATGACAGAACTTTTGTCAGTTGAGAGCACATCATGAACTAAGTGGGACGGAATAATGTAACTCATTTTAGACTTTATACAATTCACCAACATGAACTAGTGATATGGACTACAAGTGGGATGAGCATAGGCAAACTTCTGCTACAAGCAAAAGAACAATTCGAACGTCAAAGAGCCTGTGTCAGAAAAATAAAGAATTAATTGCTGAGAAAGGCCAGCATTGTGCTTGACTTTTCGACATACAGATGTAGTAGCGTTGTACAACAATATAATTAACCTAGACAAGGATAAAAAGAAAAGAAGACTAATATCATAAAACTCAAGAGCAGAGCTTTGAGTCTGGTCCAATAAATTAACCACAACAACAACATTGGAGAAGCGAATATTTAAGCATAATTCCTGTGCGTACCTTCCCTATGCCAGTCGTGATGATAAGTTAAGCAAAACTGGCTCATGACAAAAACATAAATGAAACCTGTCACATGATCATTCATGCAAAGAAACTGGCAGCCAACGGGCAAGCCTGTGCCGTTCAATTTATCTTGTGTGTTCATTGTGTGGACGTGGAATTGTCACCAATAACCCAGTATTGCTTCACAGCAATCAGAATCTTCTCAGGGACTAGGGGACCGTCCTCATGATCAACCAGTTTAGTATCCCATCGCATGCCACCAACTATTTTCTTTACCTTGATTAGGACATCAACTTCATCGCGAAATATGACAGCACCTTCAGGCCGCAAAATCCGGTCCATCTCCAAAAGAATATCATCTGCATTACATCTGCATTACAATCATGACACGCAAACTTCAGGCACATGAAAGGGGATAACAGAATTTCTGAAGAAACAACAGGAGAGAAATAAAAACATGTGGTTCTGCAAATGACTAGAAATGTAAATCTATGTGACGAAATTATAAAGACAAACTAAACAGGCACAAGAGTGACTGCTGACAACTGAAAAGCTTAGATCAACAAAAATGCTAATAGAATTCTCACTAAAAGATGAACCCCCGAGCAGATGGACTCTCCATAAAGTTGCATCTCAACCAACAAGTTACGCAGACTCATTAATCTATTTCAAGTGTTGATACATTAACAATGATTAAGATCACCAAACAGACATGATCAAGCACTGCTTATAGTTTAGCCATAGCTAAGAAACAATGGCACTAGCAACAGAATATGAAAGCACCAGAAGTTTAATTAAATTTAACAAAGGAACTTACTTGTCCTTGTATAGACTAAAGAGACCATGGGCATGAATGAGATCATACGTCCTTGGATATGTGGAGAAGGCTTCACACCTGGATCAACACAAAGTTCAACAAGCTTACTTCTAACAGCTGACAAAATATAGTAAGCAATAATAAACGACAGCACATAACACCATTGGCACCCTTCTTCATAACATAATCTTGCTGCCGAAGGATTACGTAGTAATTTGAATAACAATATAAAATTTGATAGGTTATAAATGAGTATTTAGATATCTAAGATTCATAGATGCCATAATTACCGCCAGGGGGGGGTTAGGAAAACATACCAGTCATGATAGATGCCAATCAGTCCTCGCTCATATATGACACCCAGG